GACCGGACCATAGCCCGCATTGAAATGGAAATTGAAAAACCGAGTTACGCTATTTATTTATTCTGTTTTTTTTTTTTGTTAACCTTGAAAACACGCTAGAGCGTATCGGCTGGGGTGAGATCTCCACTGCTGATCTCATTTTCGAGTATTGGCGGCTCCATGAGTCAGGCGGCGTATATATTTGGTTTAATTTTCCAGCGATTGCATTAGGAGTTGGCTTTGGGAATTTATTGCCAAAACGAATCAGAAAACAAATGCTTTCCTGATTGCCTTGAGGCGGCAAATATGTCGGAAATACTAGTCGGAAACAAAAAATACATAGGGTATTAGTGTGGCTTTGTCAGCCGCGACATATGTATATCACTATAGATAAAAACAAACACAAACAGTCCACGCAGTGGAACAAAGTCCCGTTGTTCTATACTGCATGCAAGTGTGTTGTTTGCATTTTCCTGAGAGCCCAAGAGCATGAGAGCAAGATAGCAAGAGAGCCAAAGATCGAGAGAGCGAGTGGGGTTGTAGGTTTAGGTGCATTATTGTTGTTGCTGCTGACAGATCAAACAGAATTGAGAGAGACTATGTTCCGAACATGATCGGACACGCAAAAAGCGAGCAGAGAGGGAGAGACGGATTAAGGCGGCATCTGACAATTGAAGCTTTACTGCGGTGCTCAAGGTAGAATATACAGCATAGAGCATGAGAATAGCAACAGGCGACATATTTAAAAATTATTGTATATTATTATTATTATATTATTATTATTATATTATATATATAAATGCATGCTGGAGCCCAAATGCATGAATCGAGAGCAGAGTATATATGTATGTACAAACATAAATAGAGATGATATTGTGGCGATCTAAAAGGAGATATACTCTTGTATTTATTTGTAACTGAACGATTTTTACCTATGCATTTTAGTATGCCATTTGCTCTAACATTTCCTTGAATCTAGAATCTTATATAATATCCATACTAATTTTCACATTTGTATTCATTTTTATACATTTTTAATACAAATCTTGCACGTTCGGATATCATAGAAAATTTCTCTGGGAAAAGCTGCAGTACTTGTATGAAAATTGATTTTAAGATACAGCTTATATTTAAGTAGATTTTCTTTTTGCCGAGGGACTAGAAAACACCATTATCTTCAACTAAAAATCTCAAAAAATTCTTCGAAAGACAATTTTTCAAGGTCATCTTTGGTAGAGAAGTTCCCCGTAAATCGGAAAACTCATAGAACACTTATTTTCTGTTATTTTAGAAGAGAATATCACTGTCAAGGCCCTTCCACCATATCAATTTCTCTCTCGTTTAATACATTTCCAATCCCTCGTTGACTTTCATTACCTCATCCCCATAAATGTCGAATGTCCTTCGTGTTGCCATTAATTTCAAACTTTATTTGTGGTGCAACCTTCAGCTCTATTTTTACCAAGGATATGCAAATGCGGCTGATCGTAAACACGAGACACGTGCATCTTTGAAAATGTCATCGAAACGTGAATACGGAAAATGGAAGATGGAAAATGGTAAATTAAGAGCCAGCAAAACAGGCTTTGAATAGAGAATAAAATGCATCAGCAGGTAGGATGCCCCGGGACACACTTCATGGACACACACATACGTATGTAAGAAAGGTCATTGTGGGGCGGAGGAGGGCTTTGTGGGCCCTGTGTGGGCGTGGCAGTGGGCCAACAAAGAGCATGTACAATCATCAGGCAGATAAAAAGCCATAAAAAGCAGAAGCAGCAACAGCACGGAACCAACACGGAAACAAATAAAAATCAACAGGATTAAATATGCAACCGTCCACACACACACACACACCTATACACACACACACCTACGTTCCTCCTCTTTTTCTCCTCCTATGTTTCGTCATCTCTTTCGCTTTCTATGAGCCTCTGCCTCTGACTCTGCACGGGGCTTAGCCTTGTGCCTTTCCTTCCGCCTTTCCTTCCACCTTTCCTCCTGCCTTGATGGGGGTTTGGGCTTGGGGTTGCGTCTGCTGCTGGTGTGTGGCGGCCAATCTGTTACATTTTGTCATGGATTTCCATGCAACGTCTTCGTGCCACACACTCTCTTTCTCTGTCTCTGTCTCTGCCTGCCTGTATCTGTGTGTGTTTGTGTGTCCTTCGCACGTTTTACCTTCAGCTGAGGCTGTGGCAATGTGACTGCCATGGCTATGGAGCTGCTGCTCATGTAACACCCAACCCCAGGGGCAGGCACACAGGCAGGCGGAAAATTCAACAAGTTCGGGGCCGAATGTTGGGCAATCGAATGTCAGTTACCGCGTAACAGAGCTGGCAATTGAAGGGGGAATAGTGGAAGTTATGAATGATATTCCCTGTTATGTTCGAGTCGAACTTTTGGGGACTTCAGGCCAGGAAAGATGTCCATCAAAAGACCTCTCTCTGTGTATGGCTTATGGCCTTAGTAGTGTCTTACGAAGGAAATTTTCGGTAGAGGATGATTTCCCCACAGGGGATTTGAAAACCCAATGAAAATTGTCTTCACAGACATCTCTTTCCTTATGCTTTTTTGTCTGAAACGTGAATAGTGTCCCAGAGGAATGTCTCCTATAGAAATATGATCCCATAAGGGAGATGTCCTTTAAGCAACCCTGCCAAGAATGGTATTAATTTGAGGAATATTCCCTCTAACCCTCTGCATAAACAGTCTCTCCCTCTGTCCATACAACCCTCCACCAAAAGTCCGAATACCCACCAAAAACAAGTACTTTTAACCATTTCCGCTGGCCATCTTCCATCTTTCTAGACACATCTTAAAAATTTATTACCCACTTTATGCAGGAAGCGGATGGGTCCTCTCCACGGACTCACCCCAGCAGACGGAAAGAAATGTCTTCTGAAATATTTAAACTTTTTTACAATTAAAGCAGAAGCATTGGGAAAGGAAATGTAGAAAATGTACAGGAAATACTACGAAAACGTGCAATTGCAACATGTGTTGCGCACTACATCCTTGAGCTTTCCCGATTTGAAGTGGAATTTCCTCTTCAATTCAATTTTCGCCACACGCCAGAGACATTTATTTGAAAAATATTGCAAAGAAATGGAAATAGAAATAGAACTGGTTTCTTGTTTGATTTTCCACTCGTTTTCCCCCCACACTCCCACACACACAAACATAATTTTAAACGTTTTTTCCGCCCTACTGCTCCACTCTCTTTTTCCTCTTTTTTTCCACTCATTTTCCCCCCACTCCCCACATTCTCCCCTTTTTCCCTCTGATTGCTAACCTTGTTAAATGCCATTTTGCCACACGTGGCAAGGTTAAAAGACCAAGCGCCATGGCGGCCATGCCTCTCAGAAGCCAGAAACCAGAAGCATTTTCCCCCACTTTCCCGCCCATTTTCCAGTCGCCACGTAAGTGAATTATCCCCGCATTTGACGCATTTCCATTTCGAATTTCGCATTCGTACAACACGACGTATGAGTGATATTCCATCCGTAGATTTTCCTGTGAAAATTGCATTTGCTGAACACCATTTTGAGGGGGTTCGAAATGGGCTGGGAAGTGGAAAACATTGCTGCTAGGCTGCGGATAATTAGGGAAATTCAATGACGACACCACCAACAGGAGAAGCAGGAGGAGGAGGAGGAGAAGCACATCAAGGAAGCAAAGGATTCGAAAATGAAATACCATTGAAGAATCAATGAGGCGGCGGCAGAGAGTACTCTCAAATATTCAAATGTCAATCGGTTATGGCAGATGATTTCCTTTGGAGGGTCCCAGGTGCAGAGCTGAATGTGAGGCAATATGTTTCATAGATCTTTAAGATAATAATTTTCCAAGTAAAGGTATGATTTGTATGGCTTTAAGAATTTCAGCAGTTGCTGCATCTGGCAGTGTCCTTCTATTGGACATAAATTGAAGCCAGGAATGATGGATTTTCCATCCATTGGAGCGTCATTGTACATCCTACAAATGTCCTTCCATTTCAATAGGAGTTCAATCTATTTCTGAGGGCAACGGCCTTCTTCTTCAATGGAACATCCTTCCTCCTCTCAAAAGGAACAATGCAGCTGCAGTGTCCCTCACCTCCCCCGAAGAACAATGCCATACCGTTCGATAACTTTAGATTGAGATAAAGGTAAGCTTCTTATCGAATTTGCATAGCAGCGCTGACAATGGGGTGTTCGTCCCATCCGTTTTGGCCATCAATTTTAAGGCATTGTTCATCTTCCAATCATTTTCCATGCCAATTTGTTTCATAAATCTTTCATTTCAAAAGCTGCAACTGTTCCAAATGCTGCAATTGCTCTGGTCACTCCCCTTCCTCTGCTCTAAAGTACAGAGAGTTTTCCCAGGGAAGTCCTTTCATTGTTTGCACTGCAATTTGTGTCCTCTGTAGCTGCTTGTTTTCCGATCAAAAGATCACGTACTCGACTCGCACATCAATTAGTTTTCTAGACAATGCAAAAGGATTAAAGGTCCTGAAGGCTTAAGCTTTGATTGCCACCTGAAGATACACATGCAACACATGCCACACACAAAAGCGTTGCATGTACACATGTAAATTAATTTAATTTCCAAGACAATGCACACAAGGCTCCTCCTGCCTTCCTTCTTCGTCCTTCCTTTCCTCCTTTCCTCCTTTCTGATGCTGCTGCTGCAAATTGCTATAAATTTACACCTTCCTGTCCAAAAAAGAGAGGCGTGGCCTGGCGGTGCTGCTTCCTGTGGGCGTGGTTCCGGGCAATTTAACACCTTGGTTGCCCGCGCAATAATTTTGCGGTTAGGCCGCAAACATTTCGCATATCAATCATACGCCCCGTTAGCCAGCAAGTGCAAAAATCGTTCAACATGGCTGAACTTTGACCTGTGCCCACTACAGGTGCCCCCCTCCTTCCTCCCGCTTTCCCGACTATTTGTGCTACTGACAGCACAACTTGCGATATTTTTGCAGTGGTTTAATCAGTGAAAAGTGTGGGAAAATGTGCGGCTTTCCTTCGGGGGCTACTTACAGTTTTCAATTTCGACTTTTACTTCCAGTCGTTCAGAGAGGCTTCAGCGGGGACGAGAGCGGGGAGAGGGTCAGTCCTGCAAGAAGAGAGTAACAGAATTTGCATAAATTTAATAAAAAACGAATTAAATTTTGTCAAAATGGTACGGCCCAAGAGAGGTGGTGAGGGAAGAGGAGGCAGTGTGCCCGTGGGCCATTGTCAGCGACATTGTCAAAAGTGTATAATGAAAATGTATGCGCGGAAAATGTGCGAAAATCGAGCGCATCCCTGAAATTTCACTGCTGATGAGGGTCGAGTGGAGGAAACTGGGAGAATCGTTGTAGCAAGGGAGATGGAGGAGGGGTGGCATTGAAATAGTTTCGCAAATATTAAACAGAGGAATGTGCGCCCGCTCTCTACTGCACTTCGTTCAGCCATAAAGCCCTTCAACTGTAATTGTATCTGTATCTTTTGCCCAACTAGCGCCGGAGAGCGGTTTTTGGTATTTTCAGAGATGTGCGGGGTATTCCGGTAGAACACTACTAAATTTGCACAGAATCTGCAAATGTACTTATCATCTATCTCCTTTAAGTTCCCAAAGCTTCAGGACATACTCTGGGACACTCTGCTGTCAAAGGTTGTTGGACAAGCTTCGAGACTGTATTCTGGAAACGACTCCTCCAGAGCTGCAGCTTGGGAAAGACAAAATTTGCTTTGCTTTTCCTAGACCTTTCCCAGAATCCTGACTAATCTCCTGCATGGACAGATTCCTCTACAGACTACAAGCTCTTGACTCCAGCAGACTCCTAGACTGCGGCAGCCTTCTAGACTCACTTCTGGTGAAAAATTTGAACAGGTTTCTACAGAGAGAGACTCCCCAAACAATTCCGATAAACATATTCTAAATAGCAAGGACAGATCCCAGTACAAACATCCTGCACGTCTGACGCTGCGGATTACAACAGCCAACACCCAAAAAAGGTTTTGACCACAACTGTGTGACCGACGTTGCCCAGTCCCGACTCCAGTCCGCTGCTTTGGGCCATAAATTAGTTATGCTTCATGGCTGCAAGCACAGGATATACCCAGAGCTCTACCTCGGTGCAGGAGCAACAACGAGGACTCCTGCAATAAATCACGAATCTGTCGCTGCCTGCGGGCTGGACTCCCTCCAGAACTTTGCTGCTTTCGGAGGCAGTTGTTGTGACAACAGTTCTGTGCTCTTCTCTGCTCTGATGCCGCCGAAGGATCAGAAGCCCGGGAATCCCTCCAATGCAAATTACGTCGAGTCGAGCCGAGTCCTTTTGTTTGAATGCAATGCGCTTCACCTCATCCCCACACAAACATTTCTGATGATTACTCGGGGACTTGTTATTTCATTTGTATTTATTCCAGAAATTACTTCAGCTTCCGTTGGATGTTCTTCTCTAAAAAGACGAGGGTATATCCACTTTCACGGACGCCATGCATGCTCTTTTCCACAGGCTATAGACTGGAACAGATTCTGCAGATTCTGGAACCTTTCCAACCTTGGGCCAAGCGTCGAAGGGTAGCCAAAAGCATCTCTTGAAAAAAAGCTATCTTTCCTCTTGATTTAATATGAAATATTTCACAGAATGCCAGCAGGAAAAAGGCAAAAAAAAGCAGGAAAGGCCATAATACTGTCGTACTTGTTCTCCTAAATGGCTAAAAGGATGTTGTTTTTTTCCTCACATAAATGGCTAAAAGCTGCTTCTGTAGAGTGTGGACAATGGCTTGGAGGGGTGCGTAGCCAAGATTTATTTCAAAGACAAAAAGAGTTGACTTGAGAGATTTGTTAAGCTGTTATCTTGCGGAAGGAGAAGTGGCATAAATGTATCTTCTTCAGTTCGTGTATCTAGATAGAAGTCGACAGCAAGCAACAGGTTGAACAGCAGAACAGCAACAGAAGGAACTAGTAGATAATAAACAATTTCTTTCATATTCTAGCCAAGGATATGGCCACAAATGTATCGGAAATGCCTAATTCCAATGGAAATTTGATTTCAAATGATAGCTAATCCAGAGTTAAACTGCTTTTCCTTCTTTTAGCCCTCTTTTACTTCTTTTTTATAGCCATCTCCTTAGCTAAAATGCACTCTCAGACAAGTAATCAAAGAAACCCAATCATAATTGAAATATTATACAGAAAGATCCTCAAGAGAGAGACGGGCACTCGCTCTATCCATCAGCATATCCCTCCCATCTATTGGTTATTCAATACTTTTTCAGAAGCTTTACTTACGGCTAACAAATTGCTCAACATTTGTACGCTTTTAGCGCTTTTGGCCATTGTCGTCCCCAAAGGACCAAGGGGAGGTCGCAGGACATGGCAAAACCAATTTAGTTGGCAACTTGTCTTCAATCGGTAGGGATTCGATTCGGGCACTTTCGGACCAAAAGTTGTGGCAGGGTAGTGTGTCTTTTGTTGGCCAAGAAGTTATTGTTATACCCAGGACACACGGAAATACAAAAGCAATCAGGATGCAAATGCAATTGGGGAGAGCAGCGGAAAGGAACCCCCCAGAAGGCAGAGCAACGGCGAGCAACCCCGAAGAAGGGGGAAGGACGAAAACCAAAGAGAGGCAAGAGAAGCAGGAGCAGCAACCTCGAGGAAAGCCAAGAGACGGAGAAGAAGGAATCCTCGACGAAAAGCGAGGGCTGTACCAATGGAAAAGGCAATCCGTTAGGGGGGGCTGACAAGGTGATGGTGATAAATATTGAGCACAATAAGCCACTGAGAGACCCGCAAGCGTTTCCACTTTCGAGTGTCATTGATGCAAGGTCCCTCGCCCACCCCCTGACCACCCCAAGAATAGAATGCAACGCTCTTTCATTCAATTTCATTTCTTCACTTTGGGGATTTTAGATTTTCTGTGGGGGAGGAGCAAATTGCTGAGGACCTGCTTCATATCCTGTAAATTATGGATTGATTGTTGGTATCCGAATGATGGATGTCATCTTCCAACGAAGAAAATTACTCCAGGGCTTCGTTCTGTATTGACCTATTCCATAAAACGCTCGATAACAATCGTTATTTTTCCCGCTCCGCAAAATGGGTATTCCATATTCCACAGCTGAATGGCTTAACCATTTGTTCAGCTGCTGCTTTCTATTTTCGTTGCACTACTCCTCTCCTGAAATATAAAACAAAAGACAAAGAGTGGGCAAGGACAATGCCAAAGCCTCCAGCGACACGAGGGGGTCTGGTCTGCCTTTTGCAACCGGCTGGCCTGCGAGGCTGTTGCATTGATATTGCATTGAAAGCGAAGGCGAATGGCAAGGTCACGCCACATGCCACACACACAAAAAGTACAAAATATTGAGGGGCAAAAAATAAAAGGGAGAGAGCGAAAATATATACATGAGCAGCATAACAAAATACTACACAGAAGAGCAGGCAAAAACAGAGGCAATATTCAGAGGAAACCGAAAAAAAAGAGGAGCATGAGAGTGAAAATAAAGAGAGGCGGAGGCAGAGGCAGAAGCAAACGCAACACTGGAGGAATGTGAAAGCGGGGCAATAATGAAGGCACGCACATAAACCAGCCGCGCCGCACCGGATGTACCAAAGGACTCCCCATGCCGGCCATGCGGCTGCGGTGGCGTATGCGTAACGCATGCCCAAAACAAAGTTTCGTCCTTCTGCCCTGCTGTTTTCCCAAAATTGTTCCTCTAAATTTTGTGTACAAATTGAAAGCAAACAAGACAATTTTTCTGCCCTCCTCCCTCTCCAAAACAGGTAATCGGAAAAAGTTAACTAGAGGCAAAGAGAACAACTTTTTTGGGAGTCACCAGCATAGAGCTGGTCAGTCCATTACATGGCTTAAGCGATCTTAATTATCATGAGAATGGTTTTGTGTGTTTCTCAGGGGGCACAGAAAAATAATAACAATAATAATACACGCAAATATTTGTTTCGTTCTTTTGTTACACGCTGAAAATGAAATGTTGGCCATTAGGTTGGCCAACAGAGAGGAGAACCAAAGCCAACCAAAGAAAACAGAAGAATGCGACGTAAGGAGGGAGGAGTAAAGAGTAGAGTCTGAATATAGAGTGGCAGTACGAGTGGTCGTAATCGTATGTGTAGCAATTGTTGTTTGCTTTTCTCTGTCTCTCTCTTGTGAGAATTGAGCTGGCAAACAAGCACTCTTGGCCACTCACTCGCTCACTTGCTCGCTCCCACTATTGTTGGCCCATCAATTATGCACTTTGTCATGAGAAGAATTCACTGACATGGTTTGCATTCAGTGTTGGGCAATGCCTTCATTGTTGGCAGTGCGGTGCGTGCGTCTGTGGGAACTGTACTTATTTCTTGGGAAATTGGGAAATCTTAAGATTTCTTCACTCTATTTTCTGCGAATTCTTGTTTATCATATAGATGTTGAGAGTTCTGAGTCTTTAGTCATTCTCTTGTGACACGAATTGCAGTGTTGGACAATGTCTTGGGACAAAACTGTACTCTTTTTAGGCCAAGGATGTACATTAAAGCATTTTTAAGGCTTCCCTCTCTAGATCTACCGCTCATTAAAGCGCCTTTCGGTCTATTATTTTTATTAAAAATGATCAATTAGTAAGGTCCATAACAAGAAATGTAGTGTATGATAAGGTTTTAAATGAGACTCTACTTATTCTATAGAAAAAGATCTCCATTTCTGCTTTGTAGCGATTTCTTTTCTTAGTCGTTTTGCAATTCCTTTAATTTTTATAAATTTACCTTTGGTTAAACTCATTTTTCATTCTCTCAACATTTTTCTCTTATGACACGAATTACAGTGTTGGACAATGTCTTGCTGGGTAGTGTTTTGATAGCTCTATGTGAGATCTGTAGTCATTCCAAAGAGAGAATCTCTAGTCCTACCTTTCTAAAAGCTCTTCATCAACAGAAGAAGATGAATTTTTCAGTTTTGTTCAATGTTTACTTACTCTGTGAGAGCTATAGCTATAGTAAGCAGATAATAGCTTCTTTTATCTTTATGCTTCTATTTTATCTCAGTTGAAGCCCTTTTCTGTTGATTTTCATCAACATTCAGAGGATAAACTACTTGTCACTATATTACAACTCAGATTTCAGTGTTG